AGTGTGTAGCCACTTTTCCTATCTTTCTAATGCAATTGGTCTTGGTCTCTATGATGTGGAGACAGTGGTGCTTCACCTTCACCCCAATGTTCTAGGATTTTCTCAGTGGTGTCCTGTCCATGAATAGATTTTAGTTTTTCTTCTTCTTTGAGGAAGTACAGTCAGGAATGACATTTGTTACAATTTTGGTATGCCACTCTTCCTCCTACCTTTTATGTTTTTGATGTCATAATTTACCTTTGTTTATTTTGTGTATCCATTAACAAATTACTATAGCTGTGGTTATTTTCTTTTTTTTTTTTATGTTACTCAGTTTTCATTTTATTTTATTTTATTTTTATTTATTTTTTTATATATGAAATTTATTGTCAAATTGGTTTCCATACAACACCCAGTGCTCATCCCAAAAGGTGCCCTCCTCAATACCCATCACCCACCCTCTCCTCCCTCCCACCCCCCATCAACCCTCAGTTTGCTCTCAGTTCTCAACAGTCTCTTATGCTTTGGCTCTCTCCCACTCTAACCTCTTTTTTTTTTTTTTTCCTTCCCCTCCCCCATGGGTTCCTGTTGAGTTTCTCAGGATCCACATAAGAGTGAAACCATATGGTATCTGTCTTTCTCTGTATGGCTTATTTCACTTAGCATCACACTCTCCAGTACCTTTTCCTCTTAACCTTTACAGTTAAAAGGTTAATATTTTACCATACTGCAGCATTAGAGTTTTCTGAATTTAACTATATATTTGTCTTTACTATTTTACTGTATGCTTTCATGTCATAATTAGTGTCCTTTCATTTCAGCCTAAAGAACTCCTTTCAGCATTTATTGTAAGGCCTTTCTAGTGGTGATAAACCAATTCAGCTTCTCTTTGTTTTTGAGTTTTATTTCACCTTCATTTCTGGTAGGCAACTTTGCCTGGTATTCTTTTTGGGTAGTTGTTTTTTTCAACACTTTGATATATCATCCCACTGTTTTTTGGCCTGCAATGTTTTTGCAGACATTGCTTCTAATGCCTGAGAGGATTCCCATGTATGCAAGAAATATTTTCCTCTTACTGCTTTTAAAATTCTCTCATTGTATTTGATTTTAGACAGTTTTATTATAATGTGTATTGGCCAATATTATTGTGGATTGAAGTTTTGCACTGATTTATTACTTTTGTGAACTTGGATATTCAAATATCTCCCTAGATTTGCAAAGTTCTCAGCCATTATTTCTTTACATAAGCTTTGTCCCTCTCCTCTTCTTCTGCTATTCTAATTATCCATATATTAGTCAGATTATTGGTGTTCCATAGTTCATATAGTCTTCATTCGTTTATTTTCTCTTCTTTGTATAATCTTAATACTGTCTTCTACTTTACAAATTCTGTCTTCTGCTGGATTTGCTACTAACTCTGGAATTTCTGTTTGATTCTTTTTATGATCTCTATTTCTCCATTAAACTTCTCATTTTCTTTGTATATTATTTTCCTGCTGTCATTGAGATGCCTTTCTGTGTTTTTTTTTAAACTTTTTTTTTTTTTTGAGAGCACATACACACATGTGTGAGCAGGGGAGGGGCAGAGGGAGAGAGAGAGAGAGAATCTTAAGAGAGAAAGAGCCCCCCAGCCTCCAAATATGGAGCTCAATCTTAGGACTGTGAAATCATGATCTGAGCTGAAATCAAGAGTCAGATGCTTAACCAACTGAGCCACCCAGGTGCCCCTTTCTGTGTTTTCTTGTAGCTCACTGAGATTCCTTAAAACAGCTATTTTGAATTCTTTATCAGTTAAATTGCCAATCTCATTTTTTTTTTTTGAGTTATTGGAAAATTATTGTATTTCTTTCATGGTAACATGTTTCCTTGATTTTTCATGTTCCTAAATGTGCTCTCTGCTGTCATTACATTTTTATTTCAACGTTTTTTATTTATTTTTTTGGGACAGAGACAGAGCATGAACGGGGGAGGGGCAGAGAGAGAGGGAGACACAGAATCGGAAACAGGCTCCAGGCTCTGAGCCATCAGCCCAGAGCCTGATGCGGGGCTCGAACTCACGGACCGCGAGATTGTGACCTGGCTGAAGTCGGACGCTTAACCGACTGCGCCACCCAGGCGCCCCTGTCATTACATTTTTAAAAGTAGTCACCTCCTCCAGGCTTATTGACTGGCTTCCAGAGAGAAATCCCTTCTGTCAGCCCTGCTAGGGTTTTTTAAGTTTTTTCAGACCATTTCTATGGGTATGCCTGTTCCATACCTTTTGCTCTCTTTTGTGGGAGAATTCTTAAGCCTTGTTTCTGTGCTATAAAGACAGGCTGGTTGCCCAAGTCTTCCTTTTTGTTTTCCTTATGGCAGTGCTGACTGCTCAACTTTATGTTTTCTTCCAGGTCTGCTTTTTGTGGGTGTCCACTGTCTGTCAAAGCTCACTCCTGTTGTGGTTGGGAGCATGCACAGGGAGCCAGTCACAGGGTGGAGTTTGTGTGGGTGAGACACATGAAGTGCTGGAGGTGCCTGTGGGTCAGGTGTGGGTGATCCACAGGTGAGGTATTTTCAGCAGCTCATGTGTGGGCCTCCTGATTGAGTCCTTGACACACTTAGCAGTCACAATCCTTTTATACATTTAGTTCTGAGCCTTGGCTGCCGTTCTCTCAGCCGTTCTCTGCCCTCTGGTCATGCAGCTTATGACTCAGTTCTCTGGATAAGATAGGAGAGAAATGGGTCTTTTTGACAGTATCCTGCATACCTAAAGAAGCTGGGTACTTACTCACATGCTCTCACTCTTTCCCATGCAAGAAATCCCGGGATGAAAAGGTCTCTCTTGACAATGAAGTATGGCTGTCCTGAAGGAGTGGTGCAATAAAGTCAAAATGTTCCTTTTGCCCTCTACAATGTATCCAATATTAGATTTTGTTGTTGTTCCAACAGTGTGCTTGGAACTACTTCCATGGACTCCTGGGCTCAACAAAACGTCTCTCATCTGTGGATGATCATCAACTTGGTTTTCCTTGTGTGGGGCAGGGGGAGGGGAGATGGCAAAAAAAGAAAAAAAGAAACAAAAACCCTGCAATGTTGATGTCATCACTGTGATCCTCCTTCTCTCTCGCCAAATATTTTACAGGAAATGTCACTTATTGTTTTTAGTTCTCTGATATATCTAATTATATCAAAGTGCTTTTTAGAAAGCTTTCTCCCTTCTCATTGAGAAAGGTTTTCTTTTCTTTTGTGGCATTTTAATGCAGTAGTGCTTTTAGTATTTGCAAATATAGATGTACAAAAGCTCTTCTTCCTTTTCCTATGTAAATTAGAATAATTAGCAGTACAGCCTTCACTGTTTTTTACCTGCTATAGAGGGTGGCATACACAGTTTTTGTTAGAAGGATAGAGTTTCTTATTCTCAGCATCTTCCTTAATTTTGTCCTTTATCCAAATGCTGTTTTATTTGGGACCAGAATACTCATTTTTGTATTTGATATGTAATCTAATTTAGAAGGATGCATCCATAAGGATATCTTTGACAATCTGAACTATAGGCATAAACCATTGGTTTCTCCTCACTAATTCAGTTAAAGTTTATTAGATTTTTTTTTTACAAATCCTACTGATTTTAAAAGTAATGTGCTGTTGCAGAACACTTTCATTTAAACAAATAAGTATAAGCCTTATATTATTTACTCATTGGCTAGAATTAAACTGAAGCCACAGGCTGAGAGGCTTAGCAAGAGTTTGTAAGTGAGAAAATAAAATACTGTTGACATTATTTATTTCAAGCCATAATTCTAAACTAGTCATTAACATTTGTCAAATATGAACAAAAGCTGGGGGGGATCAAGTCACTAAAGATAAAAACCTTAGTGCATGTTAGGGTAATGGCCCCATACTGTGAAATTTATGTTTATTCTTCACCTTATTTTCATGAAAGTATCAAGACTAGATTGTATGAAAATATTTTGGTACATCTTGGTATTAAATACTGAATATAATTTTGGATGCAGGTGGTACAGAAGACTAGCTATCCTAATGACCTAATTCTAACTAAAATGCTACATTTAAAAAACGCATTTTATTTTTTTTAATTTTTAACATTTATTTTTGAGAGACAGAGAGACAGAGCATGAGTGGGGGAGGGGCAGAGAGAGAGGGAGACACAGAATCTGAAGCAGGCTCCAAGCTCTGAGCTGTCAGCACAGAGCCCAATGCTGGGCTTGAACTCACAAACCGCGACATCATGACCTGAGGTGAAGTCAGACGCTTAATCGACTGAGCCACCCAGATGCCCCTAAAAATGCATTTTAAAAACTATTGCTGAGATGGCATAAAATATACTCAGGAAAGCAACACAAACAAAAAGAGAAGAAGTAAAAGCATTTAACTTGCAGATTTATGCTAAAAATGTGTGTGTGTGTGTGTGTATGTGTGTGTGTATGTGTGTGTGTGTGTTGTACATAATTTTATTTTATTTTTTATTTATATATGAAATTTATTGTCAAATTGGTTTCCATACAACACCCAGTGCTCATCCCAAAAGGTGCCCTCCTCAATACCCGTATCCAAAATCTATAAAGAGCTCACCAAACTCCACACCCGAAAAGCAAATAACCCAGTGAAGAAATGGGCAGAAAACATGAATAGACACTTCTCTAAAGAAGACATCCGGATGGCCAACATAATTTTATAATGTGGATTGTCCTGGAATAATGTGGGAGGTGGGGGAGAAGACAAGGTGGGTAATTTCACAATAAAGGGAAATAAAAAAGAGGGCATAATCAAGTATTTTGGAAAGTACTGGTATAGAACATCATTATTATATATGGCTTATGGTGGCAGATGTGAAAGCTGGGAAAGAAGGGAATGGGATTATAAGAGCACAGAGTAGGAACCATTAGAATGACTTTTTAAAAAACTCTATATTAGTTTTACATACTTTCTGAATGCTTAAAACATTTCATAAAAAGTAAAATGAAAAATCATGCTACAAAAAGTATTCCAGGTAATTAGTTATTTTACATTGTTATATCTTTTACCTTGAGTGTCAAAGGTTGAAAAACTGATCCTGTTTGTAGAGAATTTACGTGGTGCAATGTGACTGTGAAAAAAATCTTCTTGATGTTGTGTGGACATATATCTGTTTTTGAATAAATTCACACCTAAAATAAAATGAAAAAAAAATTTCACAAAGACATTGCAAATATTTGCATACTACTCCCTAGTCTCCATGTATTAGTTTTTATTTTTGCATTTGTAATTTTTCTTTTCATATTTTTAAATGTTTATTTATTTATTTTGAGAGAGGGACAGGGATAGAGAGAGACCAAGTGGGGGAGTGCAGAGGGAGAGAGAGAATCCCAAGCTGGCTTCTACATGGGGCTGGATCTCATGACCCTGAGATCATGACCTTAGCCAAAATCAAGAGTCAGACACTTAACTGACTGAACCACCCAGGGGTCCTTTCTTTTCATTTCTGAGTGGTCACTTGTCTATCATTCCAATTTCTATAAACTACTTTTTCATTTTCCCTCCCTTTTTTTGTTCTGTACTTTTAGGTAACATCTTCCTTAATCTTGACCTTTAACCCAAACTCACTTTACCTTAAACATGAATATTCATTTCTATATTTGAGCTATAGTCTTGTTTTAACTCCTTTCCTCTTAGCAATTTCTTCCAAATTTTGCTTAGAACATTTAATTATAAATTCACAATTAGTAAATAAGCATAGATTAATTAGCTAAATAAATTTTGTTCTTAAAGGATATGGTATTTTATTTATTTTTTTTAATTTTTTTTTCTTTTTTAAACGTTTATTTTATTTTTGGGACAGAGAGAGACAGAGCATGAACGGGGGAGGGGCAGAGAGAGAGGGAGACACAGAATCGGAAACAGGCTCCAGGCTCTGAGCCATCAGCCCAGAGCCCGACGCGGGGCTCGAATTCACGGATCGTGACCTGGCTGAAGTCGGACGCTTAACCGACTGCGCCACCCAGGCGCCCCAAAGGATATGGTATTTTAAATTGACTAAATGTAGGTAAGAGTACTTCATTGCTTTGCCAAAGGTTATTATTTAAAATTGACAAGGACTCCTAATAATAAGGAACATTGAAGAAAATAGTAATTGAAAGTACCAAAACAAAAATAGTCTGAAAATTAAAGACAGAAAAATTACTCTTCATACTTTATCAAATTTGCTAGAGTAAAACACGAAACAAATTTAACTGCTTGATTCAAACAGTTTCATTTTTATAATGCCTTAGTCATAAGCTGTTTGAGTTAGTCATTTTTATTTGTGTGGAGCCTGGGTGGCTCAGTGACTTGAGCATCTGACTTCAGCTCAGGTCATGATTTCAGGTTCATGAGTTTGAGCCCTGAATTGGGTTTGCTGCTGTCAGTGCAGAGCCTGCTTTAGATCTGTTCCCCGCAGCCCCCCCGCCCAAAGTCTCTGCCCTTCCCCTGCTCATGCTCTCTCTCTCTCTTAAAAACAAAAATAAAACATTAAAAAAATTTATTTGCTTCATTTTTTAAATTTTATTTTAATTCCAGTTAGTTTCCATACAATGTTATGTTACTTTCAAGTGTACAATAAATATAGTGATTCGACAATTCCATATACCACCCAGTGCTCATCACAAGTGCCTCATTAATTCCCATCATTTATTTCACCCATCCCCCACATACTTCCCCTCTGGTAACTATCAGTTTGTTCCCTGTAGTTAAGAGTCTATTTCTTGGTTTGTCTTTCTCTTTCTCTTTTTTTCCATTGCTCATTTGTTTTGTTTCTTACATTCCACATATGAGTAGAATCACATGGTTTTTGTCTTTGACCAACTTTTTCCATTTAGCATTATATTCTCTAGCTCCATCCATCTCATGGCATATGGAACTTAAAATGGATTAAAAACTTAAATGTGAAGGCTGAAACCACAAATATCCTAGAAGAGAGCTCAGGAAGTAATGTTTCTGACATTGGCTGAGGCAACATTTTTCTAGGTATGTCTCCTGAGGCAAGGGAGAGCAAAAATAAACTATTGTAACTATATCAAAATAAAATTCTTCTGCACAGCAAAAACAAACAAACAAACAAAAACAAAAAAAAATCAAATTAAATGCAATATACTGAGTGGGAGAAGATATTTGACTATTTTAACTAGTTCTTTTTCAGAAATAAATGTGTGATATAATGAAATAAATAAAGCATTCAAAAGCAAAGTTTCAGAAATCTTGCCTTAATCTTAAATTTCACTAAGAACACATATTTTGGTGCTTATATTTGAGATTCAACTATTTCCAAATGCTATATTTCAGCATTGTTTCTGCAAAAGTCATGACTACAATATTTCTTGCACCAGAGAGAAACGTATCTAATAGTGTTACTCCAGGATTAGAAGCAGTTGTGTAATCTGTGAGTAGACAACTACTCTAATAGAGATGTAAGTTCACATACCAACTTAATTATGTACAGGGAATTGCTAACCAATGAAATAACTGTTATAATCCTCTCATAACACTCATCAACTAGCCCTTACTGTTTTTTCCAGTTTAAAGCAACTTACCTTTTCAAACCAGCAACAGAAAGTGAGTAGACTAGCAGTGAGAAATACTACACTGAGTATATTCTAAGGTCACTAAAGCACTGGATATTATGGTTCACTTTCTAAGTGAATGAGTTTTAAAATTAATAATATCTAGCTGATTTTCTATTGATAGCAAATACTAAAGTTTAATTAATTATACGAGGGAATTCATGAAGATTTTTACCCATGTAATAATATATACTTACTGTTGTCATTAATGATCCATACATAATAAAATCCAAAAAAAAGACATAAACTATAAATATTAGACTTGAAAAATACTTGTCACCAGGGTGACTTTTATGTTGTGTCTTGATTTTATCAATTATTTTTTCTCTTCCAACATTATATGTCAAGTGTCCTACATCAGTCTCTATAGACAAAAAAAAAAAAATCCCCAAACACTTTAAAAGGTAAACATTAATGCGTGGTTGTTTGTGTGTGTAGTATGAATTTAATTAGCATTTGTTATTATAGTAAAAGAGAAAAACACAATGTCTGAATTGTACAATCAAAAATTTCATAGAATTTGCATGGCTAAAGCAATTATATAAGCCTCATTATAATGAAATGCTTAGGGATTTGATCAAGAAAAAAGTCAGGATGATGAAAACCTGATAAAACTGAGGCACAACTGACACTGAATAATCCCTTAACCAGTGCTTTTTCTACACAAGGCTATCTTTTTAAAAAAACTATTTTTAATTTTTCTTTTTTAGAAAAGAGAGAAAGCATGTGAAAGGGGGAGAGGGGTAGAGGGAGGGAAGGAGAGAGAGAGAGAGAGAGAGAGAGAGAGAGAGAGAGAGAATCTTAAGTAAGCTCCATGCTCAGCGCAGAGCCCAACATGGGGCTAGATCCCATGACCCTGGGTTTATGACCTGAGCTGAAATCAAATATCGGATGCTGCACTGACTGAGCCACCTAGGCACCCCTACAATGTGATCTTTTTATAAAAACTTAAATCATTTTGAGGAGTTAATGTTAATGTTATAACTTCCAAGTTTACACTAAAAGGACATTCATGCTGTAGGAGTATACAAATGAGATGGAATATGACATTGTTGTTCATAGTTCAAGTTATAAACCATAGTCCCACATCAGAAAAAGTTACTATGAGGCAGAAATTCTTTGACTCTCTCAAGACTATTTTATGCCATTTTTAGGTTATATAATTGTAAATTAAGTAGGCATCAGTGATGTAGAAGAATAAGATATTCTGTGGTCTAAAAAAAGTGTCTACCAGTTCCCCTTATGCATATACCTTGTAGCTGGAGAAAGGAATATGAGTAAATTTGCAGTAGTACCTGCATTGAGATTGCATACCATTTCATTTGAGGGTTTTTTTTTTTAATATATGAAATTTATTGTCAAATTGGTTTCCATACAACACCCAGTGCTCATCCCAAAAGGTGCCCTCCTCAATACCCATCACCCACCCTCCCCTCCCTCCCACCCCCCATAAACCCTCAGTTTGTTCTCAGTTTTTAAGAGTCTCTTACGCTTTGGCTCTCTCCCACTCTAACCTCTTTTTTTTTTCCTTCCCCTCCGCCATGGGTTTCTGTTAAGTTTCTCAGGATCCACATAAGAGTAAAAACATATGGTATCTTCATTTGAGTTTTTATGGGATTTGAACATTTGCTGGATTTAGAACCTACTAACTAGGTCAAACAAGAGTAAAAACACAAGAAAGATATTAAAAAAGAATTTAAATTAAAAAGGAGATAACTAGGATTGGTGATTTGGATCAAATAAAATACCTAATGTTTTGTGAATGAAAGATGGTTATAGGAAAGCAAGTATCAAAGGTTGGAAACTTATAAATCTGACACCATAATAGGGACCTTGCTTTGTTGTAATGACTGAGACCATGAATAATTGTTAAAGGTTGTACTCTGATCTTTGTTGCCCAAATATATATTCACTGCAACATAAGAAGAGGAAGCAACCAGCCTGGGTATCTTTACCAAAAAGAACCACAAAGCATAAGATTGGATAGAACAACTTTCACTACATTTTGCGAAAATAAAATGACATACAGCAGTGAGAAATGGGGATATTAGTAGATACATCTGAGGCTTCTTTGGTTGTTTCTGCAATTTGTATAAGTAAGAATTAATTGTCCATTTGAACTGGACCAAGAGATTCTTAAATAAGCACAGAGGCATTAAGAGCATTTCATAGTGGATAGGATTAAAAACTGGGGGGTTGGGGTGGGGAAGGTATGTCCTAGAGAAATTTATGATCTAGTAAGAATCACAATTTCCCTCCTTCACTATGACCTCTAACTGCTTTAATGCTTTCTGAAAACTCTCCTTCCTGAAGTTCCTAGTGTAGAGTACACACATTTTTATTTTTTATTTATTTTTATTTTTAAAAATTTACATCCAAATTAGTTAGCATATAGTGAAACAATTATTTCAGGAGTAGATTCCTTAGTGCCCCTTACCCATTTAGCCCATCCTCCCTCCCACAACCCCTCCAGTAACCCTCAGTTTGTTCTCCATAATTTTGAGTCTCTTCGGCTTTGTCCACTCCCTGTTTTTGTATTATTTTTGTTTCCCTTCCCTTATGTTCATATGTTT